GCACTGAGGAGGTTACTGTGGATGAAGGGCAGAGAGTACCCCTAGTAACTTCCAGGTGTGACTTTGTCCTCAGCCTGGGTCTCAGTGTGGGCTGTGTACAGAGGAAAGCTTACATTTCAAAACAGTTTCTAGATTGCTTGCAAGTGCTTATTAGGTTTTAAATGTGTCAAAAGCTAAGGATATTTGGAGCATTTTATAATGATTACAAATAAAAAGTTTAACTTGCCATTTGTTTTTAAGCTACACTGTTGCTTTCCTCTTGGCTGGCTTTTGTTATGCTGATCATATACCAAAGGCCCCGGTGTCAGTCACGGCCTCACTGTAGGGAGCTGGAGCGTCTAAGAGCCAGCTGTGAATGCCACTTCCCAGGGGATAGGCAGGGAGCCTAGGAGGACAACCCTAACCCTAACCCTAACCCTCATCTGCGGGGGGGGACACACCCCCTTGTCTCCTGGTTGTGTCTCAGGTGCCGGCACTGGGAGTGGCTTTACTTCCTTGTGTACAATATCTTACATGTTTCACTTATACAGGAAACGCTATGACCCTGATTTGTTTTAAATGTTGAATAGTCAAGGAAGAGCCTTCTGTGTAATTACAGGAAGGAAGCTTGAGCTCACTGTAACTGGTCAAGCAGAGTATGTTGGTAGGTAAAAATGTAGGTTACAAAATATTCTTTTACATAGGCTCTTAGAAGGTCTGCTGTGTAAATATAGGTTGTGATCTTTAAGACCCGAGGCGAAGCGTTGTAACGTTAGAAGTTGTTATGCTCTGCTCACTTTGAGCCCTTGGAACCCTGCTGATTGTCCAGCCTGCTGGGCAGCGGGCAGTGAGAGCTCTGCACTGCTGCGCTGTGTGACAGACCGTCCCAAGGTGACTAGCAAGGAAGGCTCGTGCCGCCTGGGGAGTGCTGCCGCTATGACTCAGGGTTCAGATTGAGTGTGTGAGTTTCATGGACTCGGTTTGAGAATTGCTGTTTCTCCAATTTCTCAAGCTTGTGTTAGAAGTCGGAAAGATAGGGCTGATTTGCTTCAAAGAAACTTACAAGGTGTGCTCTCTTTCTGAGATTTAATAAAAGTTAATTGAACTGATTAAAATTTCATGTGATTGAAGGTTGGTGCTTAGCCCTGTCCCAGCTCAGGCTGACAGTTGACATTCCGAATGGTGAAGAGGCTGTGCAGTGGACTCCTGGCCGCTGGATGCCCACAGCGCTGTGGGCAGATGGCTGTGCAGTGGACTCCTGGCCGCTGGACGCCCACAGCGCTGTGGGCAGATGGCTGTGCAGCGGACTCCTGGCCGCTGGACGCCCGCAGCGCTGTGGGCAGATGGCTGTGCAGCGGACTCCTGGCCGCTGGACGCCCGCAGCGCTGTGGGCAGATGGCTGTGCAGTGGACTCCTGGCCGCTGGACACCCGCAGCGCTGTGGGCAGATGGCTGTGCAGCGGACTCCTGGCCGCTGGACACCCGCAGCGCTGTGGGCACATGGCTGTGCAGCGGACTCCTGGCCGCTGGACACCCGCAGCGCTGTGGGCAGTTTTACCTCATGGAGTCTCTCTTGCGTGGAAGTGTGCTTGTGCCTAGGCTTGCTGGTCGTGGTGGGCTGAGCTTTCTACTTTCGAACTGCGCTGTATTCACGGGGAAGGCACTGGATGGTTGAAACAGTGATCGGAGAGCTGCAGGTGCTGTGAAATCTTGAATTTCATCATTCTGCTGCTCTGGAACGTGGCTGTGTAGTGAGCAGGCTCAGGTGGTTTGAGTGCTCACGTCACCAGTGACGGCAGTGCTTGACGGCCTGTGCCGCGCTCCTGCACGCACGGGAGGCTCTGTGGTTCTATAGCATGAGACTTTAGTTCCACTCTGGCTGCTTAGGAAGCCTGTGGTGTGGTGGGAGCTTGAACTTTGAGATGGATTGAAACGGTGCTAGCCTCCGGAGCTGACGTCTCGTTCTGATTTGCCCACGCAGTCCCTTGGAAGAGAATCACCTGAGAGATCTCCTGATTAAACAGCACACCGTACTCGCCCTCTGGTGTTGGTGTAAACCATTATTTTACCGAGAACCATTAGCTATTTAAAACTTGGTACATAAATTAAAGAGGAGCTAATGGATTTGTGATCGTTGCCATTAGTAGCATTTTAGATTATACAGGCAATTATTGTGTTCATTACCCCAGCACAGGCCTCGCAGCCCCCGTGCTTGCCTTAGATATTAGCTACGAATTTTCCCTTGGAGATTAAAATTTCCAGTCGCGTATTTAATTTTGTTATCACAGTTGATTCAAATATTATGACAAGTAGAAGAAAATTTGCTTTACTAACATAGGAAATTACAGTAAATCTTGAAAATTACCTCCTAGCCTGCAAATTCACCTTTCTTATACAGTCATAATTACTTTATTTGATTAACAGCATTTTGTACATGAAAAGGTATTGCAATCATAGCAGAAGGTGTTGGTCTGTCCAGGTGTTTGCAAAATTCCTTAAAGAAGGAAGACATTGACACTGGGATCTGCTTGTTGGTAACTTGGCCGAGTCTCAGGGGTGTCGCGGGGAGCCCGAGTACAACAAGGGCCCCTTGGCAGACACTGGGACCATCCTTTCCTTGCAGACTGAAGCTGCTGAGCTCCCTCCGGCCCCCGCCCCAGCACTGTGCTTTGTCAGCACCACACACAGGCGGGCAGCCGCCAGCAGCAGACCGGTGTCCAGCAGTTGCCCTGGCCTCGGCCCTGCTGCTGTCTTACGATAGTGGGGGCAGTGGCACTCAGTCGGCTTCAAAGCTGTTGTATGTCCTGGCCCGGGGGCAGGAGCGCTGCAGCACGGTGCCTGCGCTGGGCTGGCAGCTTGTGCGCGTCCTCCGCATCCACCCTGTGTGAGTGACTTTGTCAGAGGAAACTGTGTGTTCCTTCCAAAGTGTCCTGGCGGTCAGTCTGCTGCAGTGGTGCAGGGGACAGTGTGAGGTGGTGGGTGCATTTTGCAAGACAGTGATGCTTTATTTTATTACAAAAAAAGACCAACTCTGGAAGGCCAGATTAAATCATTCCTTTCACTTTGTAATGGGATTTGGCTGAATAGAGTAAAATATGCACTTTGCATTCATTGATAGCATCTTTAGGTTGAGGTAATTGAGCCTTTTCTCTCTGACTGAATGAATAATGACTCCATCTGATCCCCAGTGAGGCCTGAAACTTAGCCCGCCTTTGTCACAGCCGGAGGATCCAGGCTTTGAAACATGCTCTACTTCCCTGGCTTAATTTTTCTTCATTTTAATCCAAAAAGCTATTTTTCTCAATAATTCAAGCATAAACTGTGTAGTAGTTGGGGTAGGGGAAATTGCATGAGAGTTGTGCTCCTTGGCCTGCGTTCGGAATGGAGCCGATAAATCAGTGCCCTGGGCCTGGGTGGCCCCTCCCAGCGCAGGAGCAGCCTGGGGAAGCTCAGAGCCCGTGAGTGTGGCTGCTTGGCGGCCTGGGCCTGGGCCTGAGCCTGGGCTGGGATGCTACTTGGCAGCAGGTAGCACAAGCCTCGAGTGAGAGAAGACACATGTGAGCGGAAGGCTGACAGCCGGCCCAGTGCTCGGGCCAGCAGGGTGGATATACCCACAGAAAGCGAACAGTGCTTCTTGGCAGTGTGCATTGCTGGCCTGCCACCCCGCTGGGGCTGCCCTGCTGCGTGCTGTCTCCCCCTCGAGGCAGGGCTCAGTCCCGTGACTGTGGTGTCACTGATGGTTTCATCCTGTGCGTCCTGTGGTGCTGGTTGTTGCATGCGTGGGAACTCTCTCTGCCTGTGGTGTTGCTGGGGTTGGGCTCAGGCTGGGCTTGCCCGTGGCCTTGTGAGTTCACGGTATGTCATCATAGGTTCTGTGGGAGCACAGGAGCCCTCACAGCCTGCCTTTTCCTGCAGTTTCTGCTAGCATGTTTGTTCCTCAGAGTGCTGACGGTGCTCAGTGCGGCGACTCAGCGGCTAAATCCTCACCTTGTAAGCACACGGTTCTCATAGGGGTGCCAGTTCATCTCCCAGCTGCTCCATTTCCCATCCATCTCGCTGCTTCTGCCCAGGGAAAAGCAGTGGAGGATGGTTCACCTGGGAGATGGTGTGGAGTGATGTCACTTCCTCTCACTCTGGGACCCAGGTTATGGTGTGGAGTGATATCACTTCCTCTCACATTGGGTCCCAGGTTATGGTGTGGAGTGATGTCACTTCCTCTCACTCTGGGACCCAGGTTATGGTGTGGAGTGATGTCACTTCCTCTCACATTGGGTCCCAGGTTATGGTGTGGAGTGACGTCACTTCCTCTCACACTGGGTCCCTGGTTATGTGTGGAGTGGATGTGAACATCTTGCATCTGACCGGGTGGGCTGCAGGGTTCGGTCTATGCAAGTAAAAGACTGGTCACCAAGTTGCTGCTCCATCTCCCCTGTCATATTCAAAAGAGGTTCTTTAGGAGAGCCCTTTGTGGGCCCGGCATGGTAGCCTAGCAGCTATTGTCCTTGCCTTGAGTGCACCAGGATCCCATATGGATGCTGGTTCTAATCCTGGCAGCCCTGCTTCCCATCCAGCTCTCTGCCTGTGGCCTGGGAAAGCAGTCAAGGGCATCCCAAAGCCTTGGGACCCTGCACCCGTGTGGGAGACCCAGAGGAGGCTCCAGGCTCCTGGTTTCAGATCAACTCTGCTCTAGCCATTATGGTCACTTAGGAAGTGAATCAACAGACAGATCTTCCTCTCTGACTTTCTTGCTCTGTGTATATCTGACTTTCCAATAATAAATGAATCTTTAATAAAAGAGAGAGAGAGCACCCCTGGGGCTAGCGCTATGTGGGCCAGCAAGGGACAGGACCCCTGTCCTTGGTGAGGGACAGCATAGCCCCCGCAAGCACCGTGCGCTGCAGCAGTGCAGTCTGTGTCTTGCAGCGAGCCCTGGAGAAGCGTGGAGGGGTCTGTTTTGTGCGGGGTTGCTCGCCATGCATCCGCAGCACCTAACTGTATGAGCTCCTTTCTGCTCTCTTGCAGGTTGGCTTGCTGGACCTTGAACTCAATCAGCTGACGAAGGCGCTGTTCTTGGCTCTGATTGCCCTGTCCGTCGTCATGGTGGCCCTGCAAGGGTTCGTGGGCCCTTGGTACCGCAATCTCTTCCGGTTCCTTCTCCTCTTTTCCTACATCATTCCCATAAGGTAGGTTTAAAGAATTAAATGTCTGACTTCATTGGACGTGCTTTTATTGACATTTGTCTTTCTCAGGAAGGAAGGGCTGGGAGGCTTCCTGAGTCCTGAGGAGCCCTTCTCGGAGACACAGCCTCACAGTGTGGCTAGAATCATCTGGAGTTCTGGAGCCCTGCCCTTGAGGGACCTGTGGGTGGGGAATAGGTGCTTCTTGATGAGATTTCAGTGTGACACGGGGCTTAGGTTGCTTGCTGCTGCCTACATGCTTGGATCTGTGTGCCACTGTTGAAGCATTTGAAAGAGCAGTCAATACACCTGTCAGTTTTGGTAAAATGCTGCTAAGGCATTCTTGACATAGAAATAATTTTTGAAGATGCTAACCCATATGACTGGAGAAGGGATGTAAATAGTATCAGGTGTCTCTTTAAAGATGATGGTTATAATATAAATGTTAGTCTATTTTAGAGTGTTTACAGAAATTATATTTTTAAAAACAGCACTTAGTGTGAAGTATGAGTCCACAGTGGCCACTTTTTGTAACAGAATGGAGTGAAGTAGCAATAGACTTGCTATGGTAGGCTGCTCTGCACAGGAGCGCAGCAGCAGAGGATGCTGGGAGAGAAAGAACAGCAGCAGGGGATGCTGGGAGGGGAAGGACAGCAGCAGGGGATGCTGGGAGGGGAAGGACAGCAGCAGGGGATGCTGGGAGGGGAAGGACAGCAGCAGGGGGAGGAGGTAGGGGAGATTTGCTCTGGCCTCAAACCCACTGTGGGTAGCAGTTTCTCAGAGCTACACCATAGGAAGCATTTGGGGATCCCTGGAGCATGTTCTGGAGCCTCATACTGTTTTGTATTTGTTTTGTAGATTGATACAGTTATCAAGTTATGAATTTTCCTGAATGCTTAAAATGTCTGTCATCTTGAGTGAATTGTTGTATATGAGCCCATTGTATTGGTTTTATTATTATAAATGTTACTATTATTCATCTGCTTACTGTCCCTAATTTTAGTTACCGGGTGAGCTCAGTGGAGCCTGGCACCGTGCTGGCGGATTTCTCTGCAGCCCGTGCTGTCCTCGTAGTTCTGGCTTGTGTACTCGGTGCTGTCCTGTGAGATACATTCACATCTGGAAGGTCTCTATAAACAACATCAGCTACATGTTTTTTATTCTAAAAATCCCACTGCAAGTCTATTTTACCCATTATGGCTAATAATTTGCATATTGCATATATTAATGTCATCTTATTTTTCTCTTTTATGTTTTAATTGCTTTCTTTTTCTTTTCTTCCTTATTTCTGTTGCTACTGTGATTCCTTAGAAACTTTACTTTGGGAAGTTTTTAGCTTCCTCAAATGACACAAGGACTTTAAAGCACTTGCTTTCATGCAGTCTGCGGTCTTGGGTGAATCTGCTGGGTGTCTGCAGCAGAACCCTTGGCCCTCCCCAAAGCAACACAGGGCTCCCAACACCCTTTCCCGCTTGCATGTCTTCCTCGGCAGGGAGCAGCTTTGATAGCAACCCACTTAGACACAAGTTGAAAAGTGCAATGCTTCCTCTGTCCAGCCCGTTGCTGTGCTTCTTACTTGGGTGTAACGCAGGGACACACGTGCACTGGTCCAGGAATGGCTGGGAGCCGAGCAGATGTCGCTGCCACGGCCTGGCGCTCAGCCTGCTTTCTGGCTGGGGGAGAGGAATGGAGATGTGTCAGCGCAGGATGAATACATGGCCAAAGAGGGGAAGGGGGCATGGGGTCAGAGAGGCCAGGGGGCTGTGCCATATATGCTGAAGCCCTGGGGGAGGTGGAGGGTGAGTGCCCAAGATGTGGCCACGCCTGGTGCTGTGCCCCCATCTCCGCCCACAAGCTTCCCCTGGGAATGCCTGCAGATGTCTCGTTGCCCTCCACATTTCTCGGTTCTGAGACACCCGCCAGGGCCGAGGCTCCTGTTGGAGTGTGCGAGGCCAAAGCAGCACCTTCTTCCTGCTCGAGGCCAGGGCAGCGCCTTCCTGACTTTGGCTGGCAGGAGCTGTCAGACAGCGGCGTTGTCTGTGTTGAGCTTGTCAGTAAAGCCTGTCGCTTCTGTGCCCGATGGGGTCCCTTCTCTCCGTCCAGTGAAGCTTTAATAGCAGCAGCTCCTCTCTCCTCCCTGATCCCTTCGGCCGGAGCATCTAGTTACAGCGTATCAACATTTCTGAACTGGAACTAAGTTTTACATTTAAATGACTGCATGTAGTAAAATACAGAAAATGCGTTCCGCTAACAGGGTAAACACCCTGAGAGCTGTCTCGATGAATTTCCGTTCTCCATAGACTTACAAAGGTGGAGTACACATGTGTGCACCCCTGCACACTCCTGTGTGAGTCAGGCTCTCTGCCTGCTTGGAGAGGTGTGCTGGCTAGAACGATGCCACCTCAGCTCTCATGCTGCCTCTCGCGCCCTCCAGCAGCCTGGGTTACACACATTGTATGGCAGAGGTGGGTGCTGTGAAAGAGGGGAGGCTGAGGCGAGCATGGCAGGTTCTGCGCCATGTCGGCTGACGCCTGCTGGCTGTTCACGGAGTTGCTTTCCAGGCAGAGCCCATGATGTGTGTGTGCTCGCCCCACTGGGCTGGAAGGCCTGGGACCTGCTGCTGGTGCCTGGCTGTGTCTGGCCCTCTGCTTCCCCACTGTCCCAGCCTCCCCTTGTTGCCTGATAGCCCGCCATGCACATGCAGCAGGCTGGTCTAGTGATGGCCAAAGTCCGCCATCAACCACAGAGGCAGCACCGCGCTGGCGTCTGCTGCAGAAAGGTGCACGTGTGTGCCAGAATCCAGACGATGCAGGCAATTTAGGAAACTCGGTGATCCTGTGAAGAAATGGGCAAGGGATGTGAGGAGACAGTTTTTAAAAGAAAAAATACAAATGGCCAAAAAACATTTGAGAAAACAGAATCCCCGAAGGCTCCGTGCCAGAAAGTGCGGATCACTGCTGCAAGGAGCTGTCTTGTGGTTGCAGCTGGAACAGGCAGCACCACCAAGGACAGACCAACGCAGGAGGCCTCTGGAAGCCTGGAGAGTGCGGCTTCCTGCGGGCCCTGCTGAGTGCACAGGCTTCCTCCAGGCACATGACCTCAGGCGGGAGCCTGGGTGGAGAGTTCAAGGAAAGGTTCTTTTTGCGCAGTACTCCTAAAGCTGTGTTCTGGTGTTTGGAGTTCCTGGGGCATTTGCAAGGCCGTGACCAGGAGGGAAGTTCCCTCTGCCCTCCTGTCCTGATGCTCTCAAGGGACTTCAGGGTTTGTTTTTTTCTCTAAGATTTATTTATTTTGATTGGAAAAGCAGATATACACAGAAGAGGAGACAGAGAGGAAGATCTTCTGTCTGTCTGAAGATTCACTCCCCAAGTGACCACAACAGCTGGAGCTGAGCCAATGCGAAGCCAGGAGCCAGGAGCTCTTCCAGGTCTCCCATGCAGGTGCAGGGTCCCAAGGCCTTGGGCTGTTCTCTACACTTTCCCATGCCACAAGCAGGGAGCTAGATGGGAAGCGGGGCTGCTGGGATTAGAATTGGTGCCTTTATGGGATCCTGGCGTTCATGATGAGAACTTGAGCTGCTAGCTATCGCCCCAGGCCTGGGACTTCAGATTTAAGAGCTTCAGCTGTTTTATAAAAAATTCCTCTAAATAGAATAGGATATTTTGAGTCACTGCTGTTAGTTACATTGCCTTTCAAAGGGGAGTAGCCCACAGCCCACTTCCTCTTTTCTGACTAATGAGTGTGTGCCCCCGCAGGCCCGTGCGCCTCCCGTGGCCTTCAGCTGGCAGTCTGCAGGGCTGCTGCTCAGGGACTCACGGTGTCGCGCCCACGTGTCTTACCGCCCAGCAATAAGACGCAGATGCGAGTGAAGTCTTCTGCGGTAAAATTTATTGTGCACAGCAAGATGAGGAGGAAAAGGGGCTCCGACACCGGCAGGCTTTCTGCTCTTATGTGCTGTCTGGCCCCGCCTCCGTCGATGATAGGTCGGCGTCATGATTACGCAGGGTCCTGGGCGACTGGATTCGTCAGTCCCAGTGTTTACGTGCCTGCCGCGCCGCAGCTCACTGCGCATGCGCTAGGCGCCTGCGCAGTACTGCGAAATCTACGTGACTCTCCACCAAACACCAAGATGTGGCTTCTCTGGCCGGCGCCATTTTGGGTACGGCATGTGGCCAGTACGTACAGAGGCGGCTGGCAACATCACGGCTCCTCTTTCCCTAGCTTGATCTCAGTGAGTGTCCTCAGGTGCCACATGTCCTGTAAGCACCAGAATCACTGTGACTGTCCCCGCTTCAATGGATGTGTCCAAGCAGATGGCTAGAGGACATCCCTGCCCTGACCGCCCCTTGGGGCAGGGCCTTGGGAGCCCCCACCACCTCCACTTCCCCAAATCTCTCCTCTTGAGCCCTGAGCTGCAGTCCTCCCACACACGCTCAGGTCTTGGTGCAGGTGAATGAGGCTCTTCTCCATCTCAGGGGTGCCTGTTTGTGCCCTGGGAACACACTCCCTGGGGGGGAAGCCTGCCTGCCCCTCGGGTGGAAGAGCCGCGTCACAGGCAGCGGTGAACTGTGCAAGAACCACAGGGCCCTTTTATTTTGTCACTGCCTCAGTAGCATAAACTTGCATTCTATGCTAATTTTACTTTTTTTTTTTTAAGATTTCTTTATTCTTAGTGAAAAGGTAGATTTACAGAGAGAAAGAGAGTCAGAAAGATCTTCCATCTGCTGGTTTACTTCCCAAGTGACCACAATAGCTGGAGCCGAGCCAATCCAGGAGCTTCCTATGGGTCTCCCAAGCAGGTACGGGTCCCAACGCTCTGGGCCATGCTCACTGCTTTCCCAGGCCACAAAAGCAGGTAGTTAAATGCAAGTGAAGCAGCCGGGATACTAACTGGGGCTCTTATGGGTTCCTGGCTATTGTAGGTGGAGGATTAGCCAATTGAGCTACACACTGGGGCCAATAATTTTACTTTTTAAAATGTTTATCTTTGGGGGCCAGCGAGATGACTCAGTTGTCTGATCCTCCACCTGAAAGTTCTGGCATCCATCCAGTATGGGCACTGGTTCATGTCCCAGCTGCTACACCTGCCATCCAGCACCATGCTCATAGCCTGGGAAAGCAGCAGAAGATGGCTCAAGTCCTTGGGACCCTGCACCTATGTGGGAGACCCAGAAGAACGTCTGGCTCCTGACTGCGGAATCTGTCAGCTCTGGCCTTTGTGGCCATTTGGAGAGTCAACTCACAGATAGAAGAGCTATCTATCCTCTGTAAAAAATCTACCTTTACGGGCCCGGCGCGGTGGCGCAAGTGGTTAAGGTCTTGCCTTTCATGCCCAGGATCCCATATGGGCACCGGTTCTATCCCGTAGCCCCACTTCCCTTCCAGCTCCCTGCTTGTGGCCCTGGAAAGCAGCCGAGGACGGCCCAAAGCTTTGGGACCCCGCACCCACGTGGGAGACCCAGAAGAGTCTCCTGGCTTCGGACTGGCATAGCATCGGCCGTTGCGCTCACTTGGGGAGTGAATCATCGGACGGAAGATCTTCCTCTCTGTCTCTCCTCTCTGTATATCCGCCTTTCTAATAAAAATAAATCTTTTTTAAAAAAATCTACCTTTACAATAGATTTAAAGTAAATCTTTAAAAGAAATACTTATGTGAAAGGCAAAGAAAGAAAGAACATGAATCCAGCTGCTGGCTTGCTCCCAGACATCCGCAGAGCCAGGACAGCCCATACTCAGTGCCCATGGTACAGGAAGCCACGTCCTGCAGCCGGCACCGCCATCTCACAGGCTTTGTGCTGGCAGGGTGCTGGGGCAGCCAACCAGGGCTCAAGGCCAGGAGTTCTTCCACGGAGCCCATGTCATCATCACTATGCCGCATGTCCCCCAAGTTGTGCTCACCTTGGCCACCCAGAGACTGAGCCCTGTGCTCAGCTTCACCAGCTCCTGCTGCTGCAGACAGCTCGAAAGGCGTTGGCTCATCCTGAGCGGCCTGAGCGGAGTGCTGGCAAGAAGCTTCAGAGAGTGACCCTCTGCCCAGCACTCTCGAAGCCTCCTGTTCCCTAGGCACATGGCTAGAGCAAGCTTTATCAGGGGCACTCACCCCTGCCCCCTGCACTGGACAGGCTGTGCACCAGCCAGCTGGCCAGGGCATCCTGCCAGCCCTCATCCGTGTTCACTTCAGCCATGAGTCCTGTGTCTCCACTGCACATTTCTCACTCACTGTCAGAGTCCTGTGAAACTGCCACTCCTCCCCTGGGTTCTGGTTGGCTCACTGTCCAGGGGCGGTCATGGCCATCCCTGGTGCATCGTGAGCCTCTTCTGCACCTCCACACGCTGCCTCTTCTCCACCAAGGTACACAGTTATTGGCCACCGTGCTTCTGCAGGATGCTGTGTCCTGCCAGTAGTGCCAGCACACTGCTCGGTGTGCTCCCCTGGCCTACAGTATAAACAGCCACCCACAGGGCAGCTGAGCTGAGTGTTGCTCCGGCAGCACTCCTCCTTGGCCTCCATATTCATGGTCTACGACTCAAGTGCACTAAGTGTGCACCGGCAAGCTGAGGCACGGGATCACTCAGCCCTGACCGCATGGCCATTGCCCACAGACTGCCAAGGGGCATCTGGAGGACTTTCTGTGGACAGCTCCCACGCCCCACTGTGGAGCCATTTGGTGGATGTTGTGATGTGGTCACTTGGGGAGAGTCAGCCTGAGATGGGAGTGTGATAGCCAGGATTACAGCAGAGTGGGTCCATGCCAGGCAGCACAGTGCAGTCTGCCCACACGGCCGTCAATAGCAGCATTGAAGGTGGAAGTCAGAGCCAGGTAGCAAATGCTCTTGCATTGACTGCATCATACCTATTCTGGCATTTCCTTGTTTAGAACCTAAAAGGTAGAAGGCCTTTGATTTGTAGTCATTCAGTGAGTCCATGTCCCCATTTGTTTGCAGTGGGGATTCCACCCGGGATCCTGGGACTCCTGGGCCAGTGTCCTTCAGGGGTCACTACGTGAGTCCCTCTTCCCTTTCCATCTGTGGTGTCGACCCTGTGCAGGGACAGCCTAGGACCGGAGTCTGTACCTCAGGGTTGGTTTGCCTCCTGTGAAGCCATGATCACTAATGCCTGATGGGTTCTACTTGGCAGTTTGCGTGTGAACTTGGACATGGGCAAAGCAGCGTACGGATGGATGATCATGAGAGACGAGAACATTCCTGGTACTGTCGTTCGGACCAGCACCATTCCCGAGGAGCTGGGGCGCCTGGTGTACTTACTGACAGACAAAACAGGTATGACCATGCTCTGCGTCCTCGAGGAACCCACAGGCGGAATTCACCAATGAACCATGGCAGAGACACACCATGTGCCTGTTCCTGGTACGTGTGTGTGGCAGCAGAGTGAGGAGTGCCTTCTGGGAATTGTCCAGACTTTGCCTTTGAGCTGGTGTCTAGATCTTGATGCTTCGGTTGACACATCTGGTTTATGTGCAGTGTCACAGGATGTATGTTGGCTGCCTTTGGGACAGCCCTCTGGTGGTCTCCTAGGAGCAGCCCCTGCCCGTTTCGGTGTCACAGGGTAATATGTGTGAGCTGCAGTGAGACAGTTGTGGTTCAACGTGTGGACCTGGGGTGAGCAGCGCATTGTCCTAGAGGGCCTGCCTTCAGAGTAGTTACCGCCCCCCGCACTCCACGCCTCGAGTTTTATCTGTCCTTCTTGTGGTTTTTCATTTTTGGATTAAAGAAGTTTTGTCAGTCTGTAATATTCTAAATAAAAGGCCAACAGTCTGAATCCAACGCTGTAATAAAAAGAGTCAGAGCCCCTCCCTGAGTCACAACTTAAAATTCCAAGAATTATTTGAATTAGAAACAAGATGCATAATATACTAAAAAAGGTGTGTCGAAAATTCAACATTTTTTTCTGTTCAAACAGCAGTTTAAAAAAAAGAGAGGGAGAAGGGGAGAGAGGGAGGAGGGGGGAGAGGGAGACAGAAGGAGGGAATGAGAAGAGGGAGCGAGAGGGAGGGTGGACAGGAGAGGGAGGCAGAGCTGGGTCTTGCGTCCATGGTTCCATCTGCACACACAGGTCCAGCAGCCTCTGACCCAAGTTCTTGAGCGCTCAGCTGCTGCCTCGTCAGCAAGCTGGAGTCCTGGGTGGAGTCGGGACCTGAACTCTGGCACTCTAGTGCACATCTGGGGATCCTAGGTGACGCTTAACCCCACATGCCCACTCCTCTCATGAAACACAGCCTTTTTGCATGTTAACTCATCCTTGATTCAGTAGAAAATAGTTCATTTAAATGTGGGTACTTTTCAGAATTCCCAAATGAAATGTATTTATTTATTGGAAAGATGGGGAGAGAATTTTTCATCCGGTTCTCTCTCCAGCTGCCTGCAGCAGTCAGAGCTGGGACCCTGAGATTCAGTAGGCAGCAGGGTGCCAGGTCCTTGAGCTGTTTTTGCTGTGAGGACGCTGGGCTCTGCTGAGCCCGGTGTGGGCACTGTCTGCTGGAACGGCAGCCCACCCAGCGCCTGCAGTGTGGTTGATTACGGAACAGCTCCACTACAGGCACAGAGGCGACAGAGCAGTCTGCTTACAGCACCAGCGGTAACATGCTGCTGAGGCTCTGGCCAGTGCAGCAAGATGAGGAACACAGATACGGCTTGCTCTTCAAGAAAAAAAATCAACTCCAAGAAACTGATGACGTGGTTGGGTGTAAGCCAATACAACAAGAGCTTTCTCGGCCTGGCTAGTGCGTCCAGTGCAGCCTGAGGTGGGGGAGGCACAGGTCTGTTACCTGGGAACCTGCAGGACTCGATGAGGACAGGAGTGACACCACGCAGAGATGGGCCACTCGGTGCATGCCCACATAGGGCAGCAATGGGCGTCGAGGGCCTCTGGATCCACAAGGTAGACTCAGGGCTGCCCAATGATCTTCCCTGTCCAAATTTGTAGCTTGCAGGAAATGTCTTTAAAGCAGTGACTCTGCTTGAGTAGTAGCAAAGGAAAATGAAGTGTGGTCATGAGATCCAGAACTGCAGTTCTGGGAAGATCTTCAACCTGTTAGAGGGAGGGGCAAGAACAGGTCTGAGTGTGGCTCCCAGCACCCCTTGCAGGCAGGAAAATGCCTCCCAGAGAGATGGCCAATGGGCAGTAGGTGCCCTCCCTGCCACGCCTGTCCAAGCACACAGCCGCTGGGGCCCACAGGGAAGAACTGCACAGACACCTGGTCTCCCTCCTTAGGATCCCCAAGCCCGAGCTGAGAAACCGCCCCCGTTGCCCTATAGCCCAGGCGGCACTTAGAAATGTCGCCAGAAGCCAAGACTCAGCGCTTGGAATCAGACGTGAGAGCACGCAGCCTTGTTCACAAGACCACCAGGCAAACGGGGAAACACTCCCGGACGATGGCATGGGCAGCTGTGTTTTGCCAGACACAGGAACAGCTCAAACACAGAAGCCCCCGGAAGCCACGGCGCCTGTCAGTGGCAGAAAGAGCAGGGTAGCACGGGACTAGCACTTCCAGAGCACACACTTCTGACCAACCAAGGCCTCACATCTGGAACACAGATGGAGCCACAAAGCCGTGCAGCTAAGACACAGGCAGAGATGTTCTATCTGCTAATTCACTCCCCAACTGGCTGCAGTGGCCAGGGCTGGGCCAGGCCAGGGAGAGAAGCCAAGACCTATGTTTGGGTCTCTCACATGGATGCAGAGTCCCAGGCTCTTGGGCCACCATCCACTGATTTCCCAGGCGCATTAGCAGGGAACTAGGTGGGACTGAGAACAGCACCATGTGTAATCCTGTATGCTGTTAGTAATATGGGTATGTGATTTGAAGCAGAGCCAGGAGAATGTGTACGGACTAACTAGATTTTTTAACTGAAGGAGATAGACTCCTGTCTTCCGAGTAAATGTGTGCTGTGTCATTGTGGAGCTGTCAGGCACCCCTGCTCGCTCGTGCTGGGCAGCAGGTCTGTGCCACTCTGGGAGGTGTCATCATCAGAGTGCCGTGCACCAGGTGTCTGTGCAAGCATGCCCACACGTGATATGGAGAGCAGAGTGAGCAAGCTGGGACATAGCACACAAAAAAGCTGCCAAGAGTTCCGTGCTTTGACCTCCCTGTTGGTTCTAAACAGCGACGGTGAAGTGTCTTTCAGAGTAGAGTAGTGGAGAATTAAGAATGCAGAGGAGAAAAAGTTTAGTAGCCCTTAGTTATAGGGAGATTAAACAATTTAATATTTGAGGAAAAGGAAGTAATGAAGCTACAGTGAAAAACTGAGGTTCATGATGAGTCGAAGGGAAGACAGACGACCCGGCGCCACGTGAGGGAGAGGGCCGCTCTGAGTGCACGCCTGCTGACAGCTGAGCCGCTGCGGCAGGAGCTATGACAAGGGGCTCTTGGCACCACCCAGCGATGGCCACGTCTCTCCTTGACCATCCAGGAAACAGCACCAGCTTGAGATCAGGCTCGTCATGCTGACCTTACAGACAGGATAACATTTGTCCCTCCTGGACGGGTAGGATCTTTGTCCCGCCACCAAGGCACATGAGGGGTGCACAGCTAAGACACAGACAAGCCAGGTCAGGTTTCCAGGGAGCCCAAGAACAGACGTATCTGTTCTAGTCATGAGACAGGCATTCAATACAGAGTGGTAAAGCTCTATATAAAGGCATTTCAAACTTTCTAACTGTATTCTTAAATTTCTGTAATTTTTAGAAGAGATACTAGAAATGCGGCAACACTTAGCATTGATGATGTTAGATAAAACCAGTGGGCTGTTCAAAACCAGGGCTGCACACCAACTTTTGTTTTCATTGGGAAAAGAAAACATGAAAGTTACTTAATTATCTAAGTGATCGATTTAGGAGAAGTGAAACACAGACATGGGAGCAGAGGCCAGGAGATATGGCTAACAGGGCACAGAGGCTCTACCCTAGGGCGGGTAGAAAACAGACCCCTGACCCTCTCACCAATACCCCTTCCCACAGAAGGAGCTAAGCTGCAGCCACTAGGAAGGGCAGAGGGAGGCCACAGGCACGTACACCACTGTGTGCACAAAAGATTTTCAGGTGTCCGCTCCTCCCCACCCTGCCCCTGGCAGAGCCTGCAAGGAGGGCCTCGACCCCATGTCCCACCCTCCTGTCCCTGCCCCGGCAGAGCCTGCAAGGAGGGCCTCGACCCCACGTCCCACCCTCCTGTCCCTGCCCCGGCAGAGCCTGCAAGGAGGGCCTCGACCCCATGTCCCACCCTCCTGTCCCTGCCCCGGCAGAGCCTGCAAGGAGGGCCTCGACCCCACGTCCCACCCTCCTGTCCCTGCCCCGGCAGAGCCTGCAAGGAGGGCCTTGATCCCACGTCCCACCCTCCCTCCCTGTTCTCACAAGTGGACACTACTGTCCGCCTCCCTCATGCAGGGACTCCGAGGTCCAGGGGCACCAGGCTTCCCGGTGGCTACAGTTATTGTGGAGGTTGGGGAGCCCAGTGCCTGAGCTGGGCAGGAGGGCTGCGGCCAGTGTCCTGTGACTGGACGGTGAGTGCTGTCCGATAAACGCCCATCACACTGGCTGGCTTGTCTGCCGTGAGAGTAGGAAGTGAAGTATCCCAATAATTGCATTATAGTTTCCTTCTTGTGGACAAGAAAGCAATGTGGTATAATTAGGTTTGATTGGAGTGCACGTTTCCGGTAAGATCTGAAATTAATGATGTTGCTATAGTGACACATCTGCGACCACCAGTGCATGAAACAAAGTAATTCATTCGACAAGAGCAAGCATCTGTTAACCGCAAGGCTGCGGTGTTGATGCTGACCAGAAATACCAGACGCAGTGCGGTGCATGAACAAATGATGCTGAGACGGGAGGACGGGTTATTTCCCGTTAATCTACAGGGAGTGCTTTAATCTTGTCATGGTTGTGTTTGACAATGCCATTGTTTAAAGGACAACGCTGCAGAGAACTCATAAATTTTAAAACTTAACTCAGGGTGCAGCCTGTTAAAGCAATACATTAATTCCTTTGTTAGGGAGTTTTTATCTTCATGTAGAAACACCCGCTAAAACAACAGGTCTTTTTAGGACTCACATTTTAATTATAGTGTTCATTACCCAAAATGCCATGTTTTCTGTTTTGGCACTTAAGTTTCACAGGATGCGTCATTGTGAAGGGGAAATCCTGACTTGACAGTCCGTGGGGCCCGTGTGCCAGTCCACTGGGCAGCTGGAGAAGTGGGTGTGGCTGTCCCACGAGCGGGGACAGGGCTGGCTGACTGGCAGGGCAGGTGTGGGCCCCAGGCAGC